TGTGTGTGGGGGGGGGGGCCCCCTTTGAGAGACACAAGTTCTCCTTTGATCTCGGGCGCCCCCTCTCTCTAGTTTTACTTTTTGATCTAGACTTATCTAGATTTGAAGTAGTTGTAGTTCTCTCTAATCCTCATAATAGAGAAGCCATGTGGGGTTCTCTTCTCCTTCCTCTAATTCATCGGCGACGATTAGCTCTGGATGGTGAAGCACTACCGGATCATGAAGCTTGTACGCTTGCAATCTGTAGTGAGGTCGTTCTTTCGATCTTCGATTTAAAGGATCGTTCGTGAACGGCTCGAGGGACTTCATCGACAATCTACACCGACTCTTCTTTCGCTGCAGCTTGAAGTTGGTAACGATCTACCTCTTATGCATCTTCTTAGTGTTCCTGGACCGTGACCGTAGGATGAAATTTTTGTTTTTTATTGCATTTCCCAACACTGTAGCCACATTACCGTGCAACATGTGCCCCTGAAGCACTTGCATCCCAACATGTGTCACCCTAGCGCCCCAAACCAAGCCGGACGCTGTCGAACATGCCCACTCGCCGTCGTGATAGTTTGTAACATGATGTTGGAGGACCGTTGAAACTTGTAGGGTGTGCCTCCTTGGTGTGTTCAAGTATGAGCACCCCCACCCCCCGTGCGATGTCAAACATAGTCGGTGGTTGGGAAATCTGCCAACGCTACTACAAGCCCTTCCTGCCACGGATCCGTTCTTTGGCGTACCCCTGTCATCAAGGACCGTCATTGCTTGTCCTCCTGACGCCCATCGCCAACACGGTGTCGTCCTGGTGCATCATGAAAGTGGGCATCAATGACGCACATCCCCTGGAGGATGACGAGGAGGACAAGGTTGTCTTTGAGGTGATGCATCGGTTGTTGAGCGATTAGGTCTTCCTGATCGATCGATCTCACACGCTTTGTATCTAACTCTGCATCGCGGTTCGAGGTTTAACGCTTTGTCCCCGCCTCTGTGACACAATTCAAACTCCTACATTACGGCTTTGATCTTTGGTTCAATGCTAGGCAAGAAGTGGGTGGTCCGCAAGGCACTCCACCGCTCTATGATCTCCAAGGAGTCTAATGTCCACAACCAGTGCATCAATGTGTCTCGTCTAAGATGCTTGTTTGCTTGAATTTGTGTAGGATCGAGAGTATATCGATCAGAGGGGGTGAATGGGAGATTTAAATTTTCTTTCGGAACCTTGAAATGTCTTAGTACACAACAGCGGAAAATAAACTGAACAAATGCAAATCTATGAAAAAAAACATCTCGGCATAGATAAACGGAATAACAAAACAAATCAACTACGAGCACAGAAGATAAATCATCCGATAAAAATACTACCGACGATAAACGACTAAAAGTATTACAAGGGCAAAGATGAAACCCGTAGTGCTCGATGGCGACCATGTATTTGTTCTAAGTTCACTCTTCTGCAAACTAGCAACGTCTGGTTGGAGGGACTTGTGATTGAACACAGGAGCAAAACTCTCCGGCCTATTCTCCTCGACAGCAATTTTGTCAACTTGTGTCGATTACTGGAGGTAGATTATTCAGGCGATCTTCATAACCTTCACAGATTATCTTTGAAAACCACAATTACTCTTGGTTACTGAAGACTTTGAAGCCTAACTGTCTAGAGAGTTAACAGCTCTCAAGAGTAATAGGCTGAGTGTACTAGACTTAGATCTATGTGATGCTAAACCACTATCTAGTTTTTTGGCTCTAGAGTTTTCTCTCGGTGGATTTAAGTATTATCTTTCAGCGAGAGGGTGCTTTGACAAACTTGTCAAAATCACACAGAGCAGTCAACCAACTCGGAAGGCGCGGCTGGCTATTTATAGCCGGAGAAACCCCGAGGGGGAATGACCATTCAGGACACAACGTCCGGCCAATGGCCAACCAACACGTATCTAACAGTCGGATTTCAAACGCACCCAACAAATTTACTTGAGGAACAAGTAAAGCTGACTCCTCGGTTCGAGCATTTCTCTTGCAACCCAGAAGATTATTGTCTCTGGCTGACAGGTAAATGCTTCGAAACACAAAGAGATTTCTCTCACATCTCACTTGGGATATGTTTCAGTGAAGCATGAGAGAAACATATGTTTCAGAACACTTTGACACCTCTTAGTAATAGGTGGTCATGTGACTCAAATAAGATAAAATGAACTATATAAGAAAATACTATTATGCCTTATCTTCATCTTCTCCTCTCCACTAGTCAATAATCTTGGATGCCTCCATAGCAATTTCTTACGCACAACAAATAAAGTCTAAACAAGCACATGAGACGAGTTAGGACATATCCAAAGTGGCTCACCAAATCGGCCCAAATGTCTCGACTGAACGGTCCAAACACTTTGAGCACTCCAATGGGGCTAACCAAAACAAGTTGGAACTGTCCGAACTTCCAAATTCCACCAGGCCGACCCCAAATCGAGGGGAGCTCTAAGGGAGTCCGAACATCCTCCATGTCGGTCTCTGACACACATGTCCCACCCAAAACGGTACTGGAGCCCATATTTTTTTCACAATGCATCTATCCTCCTTGGCTCTATATTTGCGCTCCCAGATACCGCTCCCGCCTTACCCCCTCCAATGTCGTGCAGGCCTTGCTGAACCCCCTAGAATCCATGCATGCCTTGCCGGATGTTGCCGTCGTGCGCCCTGAATTCAGTCGTCGTCCGGATATCCTTCACCCTACCGACGTCGGGCGGACACCGCACCCGACAAATGTTTGCACAAATGTCATAACGCAACGTTTGATGTTCTCATTGCAGGCGAAACTCCTGCGTGCAACTAGAACATGAGTGAAAATTTTGAACTATTTTATTCATAAGTTTATTATGTTTGGATTGCTATTTGCATTTGAGGAATATTTATCTTTGAATTCTTGATGCATTATGCTATTTATAATATTGTCATTATGCCCGGCCAGGTGTCCACGGTCATTTGGGGGAGTCTGTTTGGTGACTTAATTTGGAATGCCCTAATTCACTTTTTTTCAAGAGAAACATTGTACTGCTAAGGAACATTATTAGGAATGCCCTAATTCACTTTTTTATCATGTGAAAAGAAAAACTCTTATTAAGGTCTTCGAAGCCCTAGCAAAATTCTCCGAAACATTGTACTGCTAAGGAATGGTGTGACGTGCACACATACAAATGGGATTTCAACAAGCCAACCTTGTGTTTTACCATTAAAAAACAATCCGAAACACTGCCATCGCCAAGCTCCTTCGCTGATGAGGTACCGGTCGTCGTCAAGCAGGAACAGCTACGTCTTCTTGCTTCTGGTATATTTTACTAGATTCCGATTTTAATCTAATCTCCACCTGATTTCTCCTCAGGCTCTTCGGACGGACCTCCCTCTGTAACACCAACTTCCGCAGGACGGAGCACGCGATCATGTAACATGTACCCCACCTGAAATCACAAAAATGTGCAGGAAATCATGCATACGTCAGGGGGAAAACAGAATTTTGCCGGTTCTAATAGAGGTTTCAGCCAGCCAATCTCAAACCATTTGGGGTATGCACAATTGATTGTACCAATATGTGATGGGCATTTCAATCATAGTCGCTATCCAAAACTCATCAAGAGATTTAAGTTTAAGACCACTGCATAATTTCAGGCTGCAAGCTGCCCACATAAATATGCATATTCAAAACGCTCCATTTGTCCTGATATAGCCTCTGGGGAGAAAAAAATCATGACACATGAAAATAGCCCATTACTGTGACTACTGGAGTACAGCCAAGTTCATGCCTCGTTTCTTAGCAAAACTGCACCAGAAGTTTATGCAGGACCCCCAGTGAGACGGATAAAAGCCCCATGCGTAACTATCTGAACTTAATGGCCAAAGGGTTGAGCTTGAGCACAATTTACTGGATTTCTAGTGTTGTGCAGAAAGCCATAGGTGCACAGGGAGTTCACAAGAGATTTCTCTACTTCAAAGTTCAAAACAGACTGGTTTTCAAAGTCCAAAAGGGAACGGCTGTGAATATTCATTGAGCAAACAACCTACAGGGAAGGAGGGGCATGATATCGCTACCCTACCCACAATTGATGGTTGAATCAAACATTTGGCCCAACAATGCCAAGTTAAAATTCACTTCTCATGTCTAAATTATTGTCAATTCCATTCATACAACTAATCGATTTATGCTGCAACTTGAGACACATTTTCTTCTATTCACTAATGAAACTATCACAGTGCAAATCCGTACATCATATGAGCATTACTCTCATAATGAGTCAAGGAGAGACTGGGAAGTTGGAAGGATATCAATACAACATTGTTTCTAAGATAGCGATATAGGTAAAGCAGGGAATATGGCAATACAAAAGGTTTAACATTAACTACACATGTAGGTTGTTTTAAAATTTTATGCAATCAGACATTACTCTCAGAAGTGATTCTCCTTGTAAATGCTATTCCATGGAGATATAATGTCAAAACAGCCAAAATATGTGTACAGGGGTACATGTGTCACAGCCACGTATAATAAATCTGGATTTTAAAAAATTTACAAAGCAAAGCCAGTAGCCAGTAACTGGGCCAGGTGTTTCCAAGCATTGACTATTCTTTACGCTTGTTCTATGCAATCCAAATATTCTGATTTGCTATTTATTGTTCATTCTATATACATCTTTCATCAAAGTTACCTAACAGCATGACCATCTACAATGAGTAGAAAAGAGCATATTTCTAGACGGGTAGGTCCGGTGTGGCTGTATAAACATAAAATTATAAGATCATATGTCCGTAAAACAAGCCTAAAGAATACAAAACTGTCAATCAACAAATTATAGATGAATAAAGCAATAGATCAAACTCAAGAACTCTAAGAACCAACCATTTTAGATTCAATTGAACAGGGAAAAACATACACATAAGAATCTTGATGATGATACATACCTTCACAACAGAAGCAACAGTTCCGGATGGTTTTGAAGGATCAGGAATTTGGAAAAGTGCAAAATGCTTATCAGGATCGAATTTCTCATTTAACGGATCAAACCTTTCGACTCCAAACTTCTTAAAAACCTGTTCAAAATTGAGGAAAATCCCAATTAGGCAATATTATCACCCAGAAAGCAATGTGCAAAAGGAGAAGAAATAGTTAAAAGCACAAATGAAAAGTATGACAAAATTCAGGTACAGAAAAGCTACAATACGCAGGAAACGGAATCATATTCTGATGAATAGCATGCACTATATAGAAAAAGTACCTCTCCGAGTTGCTTATCAGTCATGTCAACACCCTCCAGTAGGGTTTTTAGTAATGGTACAGCTCCACTAGAATCTTCGGATGTATCTAATTTTGAGAAGCTTTCCTTTACAACAGATGAAGCTCTAGCCAAATTGTCAGCAACATCTAACAAGCTCTTAGAGAAGTTCTGCATACACGATTAAGACGCTATAAGAAATAGCAAATTCAAAATAGCTAATCAAAATGCTTATAAATATCACTATGCCATCAAAATTTTGAACTATAAATCAGATGTAACAACATCACACCTGCACTGCATATTTTTTCGAGTTCTCAGATTCACGCTTTGTCCTGGCAATGACATTTTCCATTTCTGCATAGCTGCGCAAAACCTTGTCCTTCATATCTTTGATCTCTTCATCTTTCGAGGTTAATAATTCATCCTTCTCAAAAACTAGCTTCACTAGATCCTCCTTTGACAGATCAAGATCTTCTGTACCTGAACCAGAAAACGCAGGTCATTTAGTTCATCACCTCCTGACAGACTGGGGACTTAAGTCTTTCAAACCTACTTCCAGACGAACCACTGTCTTCCTTTGAAGCTTCACCATTCGATTCATGTGCAGTACTTTCCTGGTCTTTGGGTTCATGTACCTCCTTATCATTTTGTTGAGGGGTAGAAGATGAAAAGCCAAACCTTTGAAAGATGTTGCTTGAGTATCTCAAGGGCTGATTCAACATATATGGAACCTGCTTGTCAGAGAATATACAGCTCATATAAGTAAATAGATGGTAGAAACAGAAACAGCCCAAAGACAGAAGATTACTATTGGCAATTCAGGCGTTATCTAAACCAAATTAGCAGAGTCTCCCATTAAGTGAAAGTAATAAAGAGATCATGTGCCTACAGACAGTTTAGGAGTCAATATGATAGATGTTAGTACTATGTGGAATAAGACTTCAGAAAGTGGAAGTGGATTAATAAATTATACATATGTACATAGTCCATTCTGAGAACAAAACCATCACAGCATTTGTAGTCTAAAGATTAGGATTTCGACTAGCTGTAAGAAAAAGGATTTCGATCATTAAATTACTCCCTCCACACCTAAATATTTGTCTTTCTAGAGATCTCAACAAGTGACTACATACGGAGTAAAATGAGTGAATCTACACTCTAAAATATGTCTATATACATCCGTATGTGGTAGTCCATTTGAAATCTCTCAGTGAAGGTCACGGAGTGAGCAGCCGGAAAGATGCTCTACCAAGATATAAGAACGACAGTATACATAGCCACATGCTGAGAGATCTCTGGCAGATGAGCAGATTAAATTTGTTTGTAGTAGTTGCTGCATATTTACATCAGCCTAGTTTCTTATTCCCATCTTGCAACAAGTAGTCGATAGCATAAACATATACAACCCAAGATATGATGGATTTATTCTTTGGCTTTGTTTCAGACTATCTAGCATGTGTGAAATTTACTGGCGTGCAATCATTCTTTCATCCTGTTGACTGTTTGGATTGTTCATAGACACGATAATCCATTTATTACCTTGGTGAAATTATGGACTCAGATTAGTTGTGTGTAGGCCATGTTAATTTCTAACAATGCACAAATCAGAGTTAACTGACACAACATTCAAATCATATTCTTACAAGGAAGCACATCATACTACTGCAGGCATAAGTACAAGTACGTGATAAACTGGGATTCTGGAATCTGTATTCCCCCCAAAAAAACTGTGCATTCTAATAGTAGAAGTTAGGCCCCTTGCAGGAAAATCCCCAACTCTATATTCAAATAACAATTCTGACAACATCCAAAACCCAAACATCCAAGGGTTTTATGGTCCGACACTTGGAAAACATAACTCATAGACCATCATATCCAAAATCCCAACACTCCGCCGAAACCTAGACTTAGCATGACCTTATGACGTATCCAAAATCCAACCTCGATTAGGAGCAAAACCCACAACTCCACCAACCATCAATAGGAATAAATCCCTGAATTCCCCCCGAGCAGAAACCACGGGCGAAGAATAATCTGCAGCCGGAAACACCAAGCCTGGATGCCACTCATCCGCATCCTAAAAATTCTAGAAATCACCTACGAGATGCGACCCAAAACACTGGAAGGACATCGAAGCTCAGACCGTCCGTAGAAACGGCCGAGAAAATCTCACCCTGGCGGGGCCGAAGGAAGAGCCGAGCGGGCGAGCGGCCACCGCCGCCACACCGCCGAGCGGCCGCCTCGCAGCGGACGCCACCACCGCGGCGGCGCATTGCCTCGTGGCCCGCGCGAGGAGGCGCGCGGCTACCATCTCTGCTCTGCGCTAGAACAGGGAGCGGCGAGGGGTTTCCGACGGATTCGCGAGGCGGGCGCCGAGGAGGGGGCGGGGGGGGAGGAGAGAGCCAGAGAGGGATCGAAACGTCTGGAAGGGAATTGCGGCCAGCGGGGGAGGGAAGAGCGCCTAGGGATCGAAGCGAATGACCGTTATACCCCGTGAATACATCGCGAGACAGGGCTGGGGTGGCAGGGGTATTTGTGTCTTTTGAAGGGACGTTTGTGGGATCAACTTGTCGTCCAAGAAGAGGGTTTAAGGGTTTGAGCGGCTGGGTTATCTGAGCCGCTGACATTCCTGAGAACAAACAGAAGGGTTACAGCTGACGTCGTATCTTTTTAATCTATATTGACTGCTTTTCTTGATTTTATTTATATCGGTTTTTATTATTATTAGCAGTTTACTTTGAGGAAGTGTTTGGTTCGTCCACCCTTTTTTTAACACGGTATACACACGCAACGGTCATACATACACATACACATTCATCCCTATGAACGCACGTGAGCACATTTGAGAGGCTGAGCCGACACATCATTTAAGATTGATGATGTCGCCATAGACGATTTCATAGTTCGACGAGAACATCTCCTTTCGCTGAATACACGTCACCGAAATGTCTGAAATAAATCCAGAAAACACGACCACCAGTGTCAAATTCAGGACCTGAACCCCGGTGTGTTGGTTCCACCAGATGAAACCTAACTATCTGAGTTCTGGTAACGATACGAGAATACATCACATTGCAACTGTAGTGAGACTATTGTCTGTTTTGTTTGGTTATATCCGGTAATGATAACGCAAACAAGGCAACCAATCCAAAGAGATTAGAAAACATACTACAACTAGGGGTGGCGTCGCATGATTCTCCTGATACGAATTTCACAGTCATGGATACCTAAGAGCCGAGAGAAGGTCTCACGGTTGAAGGGGGGCATTGAAGGGAGCAACATGTGCAGCAACTAGAACTGTTGATGGCCGCCGTTGCGGGATGCTGCGAGGAAGATGTTGCAACAAGAAATCTGGTGATGGCCGGTCGTCGGCATCTATTGATGCTCGATGGATGAATGTTGTGTCCGGTCAACATAGCTACGAAGGAGATGAGGGGGACGAAAGCGAGAAGAAGCTCGGGCAAAATCATTTAAAGGCCAGGGGTGGGCGTAATCGGTTTTGTACAGTCCCAATATTTGATTCGCGGTACTTAATTCGGTCACATCTCAACCAAAACACGAGTAACGGGATCAAGTACCACTGTAATCAGATACCAACAATCAAGAAACAAACTCGTCCCGAGTCAACGGCGCTGCAGCGATATGATGATTGTAGGGCCGATCCGATTTAATATCATAATCCTGAGCCTGTCAATCCTTGTAGAAAAAACTCTAGCATGTAACACTTTGTCATTAGTCTTAACAAAATCATCAAATGTATGCAACATGGAAGATGATGCTTGTAGCACCACAAAAAAAATGCAGCATAAGCACAATATTTGGTTCGAAGCCTAAATCGACATGAGGTAGGATAGCGTCACCTATACATGTAAGAATTGCATTAGGTGTGTTGACAAGAGAGTACTTGTATCTTGATTGCAAAGGTTATTTGAGAGAGAATACTTTCAACCTGCGCATAGTACAGATTGATAAATCTAAGGTCATTCACTTGAGGGGAAAAATTATTATTTTTTTGCGGGAAGAGGGAAATTGTTGATGTCCTACAATCTTATGCGCTTGGAAAACAAACAAAGTCTACAAGAATATAAATGTGCGATATACACCAGGCAAGTCTAGATCACAAGTGATAACTAGGAGTAATGACCGATAGCCTGGGTGAGAGGCCGATGTGTCATAAAATGGCATCAAAGCCAACCCTCACAGTTACATGGACATGTGCAGATAGGGGTACGTATATGTGGAGCATGGCGTGTGTGGCCCATCAAGGCACACCGCATGGCATATGTCGGCACTGGATACATGAACGTGTGTTAAGAGGGAACGTTTCTTTTGGGCCGACGAGGGTGTCAGATCCTTTTAAGAGGGTGTATGTGACATCCTAGTTGAATAGGATTGACTAGTTCTCATGGTTAATAGGATTGATATAGACTACTTGTATCAACAGGGTGTGTCTTCTTTTCCGGAAGATCGTCTCTAAAAACCCTCTAAGTTAGGTTAAGCTACTTAATAATCTTACAATCTAGACGCCCGTATTAATTTCGTGCTCCAAGCATTCAACTTCTGGCCGGAACACTTGCATTTCAGTAAAATTCATATATAAACGAGAGATAGTAATCGATTGGATTGGCCAAGTTTGGTCACTATATTTGTATGAAGCAGGTGTGTTTTTTCCTATCCAGCTAAAGCAGAACAACAATCGTTTTGGCATGAAATCAACTGATCACAAACTACATGTGACCCCAGCATGCAGAATTCAGCTGTCTACCTTTTCAGTCAGCTCAGGCTGCTTCGATTTTTTGCCTGGTAACCTAACCTTTTGTGTGACACTAACTCTGTTCATTTCTGGTCTCAGCTGCAGCCGCTATATATGTAGTAGTAGGGGTCTATGCCCTTGAGACGAAGATCGCTGTGCTCACAACAATCGAGGTGCGACAATGGGGAAACAACGCCCAACGCCGTCGATGAGGAAGAACGTTCAGAGGAAGCATGTCATGGAGCTGCTGCGTGTCACTGCACGGCCTCCACAAGAACGCTGGAGCATCAGGGAAAGCGTGAACTTCAAGATTGCCCTAGGAAGGTAAAACAAATGCGTGTAGACAACAGAGTTCATAAAGATGCAGATTGCACCTTCATTTTTGCCGAAGAACAAAATTCTGCTGTGAACTTTTTGTAACTTGATGCATTTTCTGTGCTTTGAGTGTCAACACAGAGCTAACACAACGTCCATGTGATTTGGGGGCAACTACATTGTGCAGGTTTGGTGAGGACTGGCCAAGAATTGCACAGTTCGTCAGCACAAAGACTACCCACCAGGCATGTACTTCCACCCACCTTCAGTACTTAAGCCCTGTTTGGAATCACTCCGCCCCGCTCCACTCCCGGAGCGGAGTCGAGGGAGTGGAGTGGAACTGAACAGGCACTTAATGGTCTTATCAAAACATCAACTTATAGAGCAAATCTGCCCTTGCAACTTGAAACGAGTTCAGTCATATGATGCATGTAACACGACTCCTTCGCTGTTTTCTCAGATCAGTGTCTATGCTGAGGAATATTATCTTAAGCATCCACGGACACAATCCAG